TTCACAAACGTGGTTTAACCCCCACGATCGTGCCACTACTCCCAACTTAACGGTCAACCTTTCCTCAAAAAAAAAAAAAAAATATTTTTCTGTCCCATATTTTAAATTTACAGATGCGGATTTATGTAAATGCAAATGCAAATAATTCATGTTAAATTATTTTTAAATTGAATTACATAAAAACTAAATAATTTATTAATATCTATATTAATAAATAATTATTTTTAGATTTCGTGAAGACATAGGAGGCCATTATATTTTTCTGAGATGTGTTTAGTTTTTTTCGAAAAAATCTTTTTCGGTTATAAAAAAATTTCGGATAATATCTACGACATGCAGAGATGTTAAATTTTGAAATGGACGACACATCTTGAAGGCAGAGTTTTTAGTTTAAATTTCCGTATGACAGGTCATACCTAAATTTTTAATTTGTTTTCATTTATTTATTTTTGGTACTAAAAAACGACTCAACTAACCTAAACTTATCTTAAATAGCTAATTTTCACTCACAACAATGCGATACATTCTGTTGTTTTTATTTTTAACTAATCGTTTAAAATATCATCCCGATCTAACCTTGGTATACTCGATTCCAGTAGGAATTTATTAGATTAATTAATTTTGTACCCAATCCCCAGGGAAATCGATTCTTGACCATGGGGAGTGAAAATAACCAAGTTTATGTTTACGTGGGGTAAATAAATCATCGGGTATTTTTACAGCCATATCGTCAAGCAGAAGGAGTATAAATAACCATAGATATTTTTGTCTAATGTGAAAATAACTTAGAATATAACTAAATAAAATACATGATTACGGATGACCCTCGATAAAAATATACTAGGTTATTTTTACTTTTTTTATATTACGGAAACGTAAATAGATGCAAAAAGTATTTACTTCGTGTTGTGCATGGCTAAACAATAAGGTATGATGGCGTTACGACGTGTTTCAGTTGTGAACTGCGCATGTGCATTTGCGATATACTTAATTGGACATATTGAAACGTTTCGAAAAAAAAAAAAAACTCAGCTGGCAGTGATTTTTGTCAGCGGCTTTCTGTAGAGCTTTCTCATATATATATATATATAATAAAAAAAAAAAAGTGGATAACAGCGTTTTATGGGATATGCTATTTTGCGATTGCACAGCCTCTGTTTATTATCGTATTGGAGTGGCGAATAATTGAACTATAAGCGTTAGCAGCATTTACATGGTAGAGTATCAGAAAAATTTGCAAAATGGCGGCACCCATTAGCTGGCCACTCTCTGATTTTCCAGTTTTTTGAGCCGAGGACAATAAATAATAACGTAATCTTATAGATACTATGAACCGATAATAAAATCACTGCCAGATGGTGGCCGTGACGCCTTTATGCGCATAATACAAGTCGCCATCATACCCAATCGGATAGTCATGGTATTGTGCATATCGCGTTATGAGAGACGGACAATAACTAACTTCGCGTAAAACCGGAACAATATATATGAAATTATAATGCATGTGTTATTTTATTTTTATCTATACACACACCCATATTATGGTATACTATATATTTACAGTTTTTTTGTTTTTTTTTTTTATTTTGATTTTATTTTACACGAAAATCGAATTTATTCTATTTTTTTGTTTTTTTTTTTTTGTTTTAAACGTCGTTGCACTATATATTAATATTAGCGTGTGGAGTCCTTTAGAGATTTATCTATTGTTATTATATTATATTATTATAAGAATACCAGTATTCGCTTGATAATTAGTGTGTTAATACGATATTATAATATTATACTCGAAGCAATAATAATATCATTTTTTTTTTTCTTATACGCACAGTAAACATTTTATTCTTACAAAAATCACCATCATATATTTAATACAATCACAGATATATAGGCGGTACTCACTAGATTGCCAACTCTCTGCCGTATGCTACCCGAATACGGTAATATCGACGCGATCATTTTCCGACGTCTTTGCGGAGATCGCAATCGTATCGCGTGTGTGTTATGATGTCAGATATAAGAGCCGATGATAAAAAATAGAGGTTAGAGAAAGGGAGCAAAGGGCCCGCCGTCATTAGTTACCAAAAACGAACGGCGGACCGGGACGCCTTAAACTCTTGTCACTAAATAATGTCACGTAGACAACAATCTAGAATAATATATATATATATATATATATCTGTGATTATGATTAACAGTATTTCAAAAATAAAAAATATCAATTCTGACAACCGGACACGGAGGAGGTTCTGAGGTGATAATTATTATGATAATATCTTACACGATTGGCGTTATAATGATAATAATGTGTACATATTATAGATATATATATTATTATTTATAAATACATAATTTTATAATTTTTTTTTTTTTTTTTTTTTTTTTTTTTTTATGTAAATAAAGCTACGATATATTTCAAAAAATGTCAGTGGATTTAAATGGTTTCCCCGTTTTAGTTGTACTAAAACTATTCATACTGTTGCTGCGATTGCGTATAAAATAATGTGCTATTACAATAATATCTCGAGACCAGTGCCGGCGCCGGGGTGCTGCCGCGGGCCTCGCGCAAAACGTTCACGTCGGTCGTCTTTGAATTATAACGCGAATCGGTGACGGAAAACTAAACCGGTACATTTACCCTCTGCTTCTCTAAGCGTTAAATGCACGCGATTATCGTCGTATATTTTCGGAGCGATAAATGGTATTCACATAAATACGAGCACACGTGGCCATTGGTATGCGGCCGTTTTTTTTTTTTTTTTTTTTTTTTACGCTGTACTCGTAATTTGTTCTCTTTTATGCGTATTTCTAAAACCGTTTCAATTAAATCGATGATATCTAACGGGCATGAAAAAAAGATCCCGCCGAGCGCGTACCCGGTTTGTCCACTACCCCACTACCCGCCAAATGTGTGCCGGCTCTGCTCGAGAAATTTATTATAATTATTATTATTTTACAACAAACAATAAACGCGAGATTGAACTGTACTGTTTTTTTTTTGTTTTTTTTTTTTTTTTTTTTTTTTTTTTTTTAAATTCCCCCCTTCAAACCTGGTCTCCAGATGTCAAAAAAAAAAAAAAAATAAATAAACGACAATAATAATAATAATAATAATAATAATAATAAAACGCTTATTTATCACGAAAAAATTATATTATACTTACGAGAACGGTGTATAATATAATACAGACGTCTTAATAACAAATAAATAAATAATATCTATAATACATAATATATATATATTATATATGGTACATGCATATACTGAAAAGTTATGAAGGGAAAGAAAACGGATAGATAACATATTGTATAATAAATGTTGTTACTAAACTATTACATTTCTCCGCGAGTTAATAAAAAAAAAAAAAAAAAAAAAAAAAGTGACCCGAGAAACAAAAACCCAGTGAGCACAACACACACGTAATGTTTTAATTTTTTTTTTTCGTAGTTTCCGTGTAGTTAGCTGTTTTGTTCGAGTTTGTTTTCGGTTTCATATTATTAATTATTATGATATTTTTGAACACCGCCGCGTATACGAGTATTATAATAATATACCGGACACCCATTATATTACCAATCTAAATTCATCGTTCATGTTATCACTATAATATTATAATTATTATATACGTTACGATATATAATTCAATAAATAATATTTTATATATTGTATTGGAAAAAAAAAAAAAAAAAACCGATACCGTATAATAATTTATTATTACCAATATATTATATTACTCATCGTCAAAACGCATATATATATATATACGAAAATATATATTATTTATTCACGCCACCCCGCCTAATAATAAATAATAAATATTATTAGGTTTCGATACAATAATTAATAATAATACATTATATATAAAATATAATTATTATTTGTCGTGCACGCCTGTTTGACAGTTTGTGGTTTATTCATTTCGAATATTTAAGATATATACTCGAATATATTATTATTATTATAATTTTAGTCACCGGTAGCCTTATATATTATACGTACGTACCTTATTAACAAAATAATTTTATGTTTTCATTGATTTCTATATTAATTTGTTGTTGTTATTTATTATTATTATTATTATTATTATTATTATTATTATTATTATTATTTAATGGAATGTGTGGTGTTTGGCATTTTTTATGTTGTTTCAGGAGTGACAATCCTCCTATCACTGTCCGTATTCTCACTCATGATAGCCGATGCCCTACCACAAACGTCCGAAGCTATCCCCTTACTAGGTCAGGCATAACAATTAAACAAAATCAAAAACATAAAACAAATTTAAAAAAAAAAAAAAAAAAAAAAAAAAAAAAAAAAAAAAAAAAAAAAAAAAAAAAAAAAAAAAAAAAAAACAAATAATAATACACTGTAATGTGTCGTATTAGGAATGAAATACGTAATATACACGTACATAATATAATCACGCGTAACGACGCGTTGATATTGTCATAACCACTGCACAATTACGTATCAATATATAATTATAAAATTCGTGCGGGGTCCGCTGAGCTTCACGTCGCGGTTTTGAGGTTACGATAAAACAACGCTGTTGTCCCGGAACGGTCAAAACCGCAACGCCAAGTCCTCGAAGACCACCGCCGCGCACACGAGTTTATTATATACGTGTATATTCAATATTTTTACTTATAATATAAATATTGTGTTTTCATATACCTATACTTTATACATTCATATATTTTTTTTTTTTTTTAACTTGTATTTATGTATATATATATATATATATGTATATATGTATATCTATGTATACATCATACATGTATTATATATTTATATATAAAATTATATATATATATATATATATGTATACAAAATATCCATCTATCGCTCTGTGTAAACCATAACCTAGTATTCGAGTTTTCTTTTTTTTCTTTTTTTTTTTTTTTGATTTTTCCATTTCAATAAATCACAAACACACACACACACACAAACACAAACACAAACACACACACACACACATGGCACATATTTATATATTTATATGCATGCATGCATTATACATTTTATATATATGTATATATGTATATATATATATATATATATGTACATGCAATGCATATTGCATGCGTGCGTATGAACAGTAAATACAAGACAGTTTTTTTCGGTTTTTTTGCGAAATTTCGTGGTTTGCGTTCAGCTTGCTCTAATACGACACCTATCTCTGTTTTCTCGCGCATATTGATATGGAAAACAAATCTAATACGAGCGGACGTTTCCGACACGCCATACCGCGAAACGGTCGAGGTTTTCGACGCGGCGGAAAAACAGAAAAAGAAAAATAAACCGCTTGTAAAAAATGCGTGATTTTTCGCGATTTCTGATTGGCCGGTTTTTCTTTTTTTCCGATCTCGTTCCCTCCCGCCTGTCGACGGCATGCCGTAAATGTCGGCGGTCCCCTAAATTTCACGACGGTCAATTTTTTTTTTTTCTGACTGAAGCCAACACTTGATCACTTTCGTACTTTTATACTCCTTTCGAAATCGGGTCGTGACGAATTTTCTTAACGATACGATTCGTGCCTACCCGTAGGTATATAAAACGACTACCGACTGTCCCGCGAGTAGTGCGGATTCAACAGCCGTTTACTATTTGTAAGAATGCAAATGATTATCGTATTGATTAACCCGTGAAATACATGAATCGTTCATGCCGTGACGTACGTGACGAACGGATTGCCGTGCTTGGTTCCGCGGATCGCGTACAACATTAGCACTAGCGAATATTTCACGGACTGAACATTCGTACATTCGCCCTCTTGTCAGATACAATATTACGGTTACCGCCGTGGAAAAAGTGACTTGACGACTTGACAATATAAAATCTTTATTGAAATTGAATTAAGGTGACGCTGTTTGTACACTTTTGATTTTGACCGAGGGCCATGCGTTTAGCGGTCTGTAAACCGTTTTCTCGCGAATTACATGCAAACAAAACGAGTGATTTGAACGTTTTCTTTTCCCCGCCCCGCCCCCACCCCCATTCGTTTCGCTTTTCACACGGCGGCAACGGCAGGGACGGCTGTCGAGCTGACGTGCTCGTCGAGGGGCAATTCAGTCGTTTTATATTTACGCACCTGCACCGCACGACACCTCGCGCACAGCGATAAAATCTGTATACGGCCGTACATGACTCGATCGATTCGTTTCCGTTCGCGGACGGCCCGAGCGCGGGTCCCGCGAGTGGTCGGGCGGCGGAACGGTGGAGTGGGGCGGGTGGTGAGAGGGCGGTGAGGGGGCGATTATAAATGCCGTCCCGAAAAAAAAAAAAATATCTACGTTTTCTATGATCGTCGAATAAACGTCGCCGTTTGTGTTACGATTAGATCCGGCCGGGAAACTGTCGCCACACACCCTCTCCTCCCCTCCTACCCGTACCTACTCGCCCGACCATTCGGCGTCCGCTCTCGGGCAGACGGAACAAAAAAAAAAAAAAAGGGGGAAAAAAAAGGAGAGAAAAAACGCCTGCGTACAATGTACATATTATAATAATATATATATATACCCACCTATCATACAATAAAACACAATAAAATATACCTACTTAAACATCATTATTTTCTTCAACATCATTACAAACATTTCCATATATATATATATATGTATATATATTTACATACGTATATATATATATATATATAATGTTTATATACGTATATGTATATATGTATATATATATATATATATATATATATATATTATAGCATGCTGTCTTTTTGTTTATGTTTCGTAAACTATATATACTATATATATATATATATATATATGTTGATCGTCACCGTGTTCCATATTGTGCATTCGTATATTTTGTATTTGACATATATATTATTAAAAAAAAAAAACAAAAAAAAAACAAAAAAAAAAAGCTCTCAAGTTGTCCGATTAACCGTCTTTAAAGCAGAAGAGAAACTAAATAAGAAAGAATGCCGTGCGAATGTTAAATAACACTTTTTTAAAAAAAAAAAACAAAAAACGAAAACGTCTGATAAATAAAAACACGTATATTAATATAATATTATGTGTACACGCGCGTTTTTTTGCGCATGCACTGTTAAACAATAATAATAATAATAAAAAAAAAAAAAAAAAAAAAAAAAACAAAAAACTACACAGTTTTATTCGTGTGCAGAGTACGCGTGTCAGTGTATATTATTACGTTTTTTTTTTTTTATTATTTTATCCTTTGATTTTTTATTTATTTTTTTTTCTTTCCTTTCGGATTCATTTTTTTTTTTCTACGATTTCACTGTCACTTGTTACGTTTCTACTATTATTACAACTGCAGTAGTTCTCTGATAACGTTATATTGATGGTATGTTTTTATCGGTTTCGTTTTGTTTATTTTGTTTATTCGTTAATTATATTACAAAACAATTTTTTTGTTTCTGTTCAGTTTAAATATTATATTATATGCATACACCACACCGCCGTTAAAAGCGAAACGTATTACGGGTATGACCAGACGAGGTGATACCGCAGCAGACTACACCGAGGTGGTGCACCTATCGAATTCCCAAAGTTTAATAATACTTAATCATTATTATTATTATAATTATTATTATATTATTATTATTATTACTATTATTATTATTAAAAAGCTGAAAACAAAACTTTTTTTTTTTTTTTTTCGTTATCCAGACGAACAAAAAGTATACATTTTTAATTTTTTAATAACTTTTTTTTTTATTAATTTACCATTTTTCACTCGCGGTTATATGACAAACCGTTTCCCCGGTTATTGATCTCTCCTCGTTTTATAATTTATATATTTTGTTGATTTGATTATTATTATTATTTTATTTTATTTTTTTTTATTTTTTTTTATTTTTTTATTAATTTTTATTTCATTATTATTCATTTTATTTTCTCTCAATGTTGTGTGAAAACAATAAAACTGATTAAACCGCTGTTACCGCGTCAATGATAAATGATTAACCAATTTATTCGTATATTGTAAATTAAACAATATTTGTTTATTTCACAAATTAAACAAAACAAAAAAAAAATGGTTAAAATTTGATAAAAAAAAAAAAAAATCAACAACAATTTTTAATCAATCATGTGTATTTATTATACTATTATCACTATAACAATTTGTGGGCCCCTCTGCCTCCAAGTAACAAAGCCGGTAGTTTCTTAAACAAATATTTAGTTAAATTAACACGTGACTCCGTGCAAATCGGTTAGAAATCAATAATTACGAATTCATGCGCGAAATTGAGCATGGCAAACGTTTTATTTAATTTTTCCGCGGACGAGTGAGTGAAATCGGAACACTACACTAAAACTAGCGTAATAACGCTCAACGAAATTTTATTATTTTTTTTTTTTTTTTTAACGCCGATTTGTACGAGTCGTATTTAAACGCTATATTGTGATCGCCTTAAGACCGTAGATGGTGATGATCGCACAGTGATAACCGTTGCCTACCATCGTCTGTGCGTCGTTTTAAACACGGAGAGACCGGAAACATCTAGCGAAGTGTCTCTGTACTGTAATTGGATACCCGCGTGACAGTCGTACGTAATCGTATGTATTACTAATAAGTATTTCGATTTTCGCGGGTTTTTTTCTGTTCCCTATACAAAATAATGCGCGTGCTATCCGTCCGTCGTCGCGTCGGGACGCGGCGGTCGTCGGCCGGGCGCGAAATTTGACAACGTCCCCCCCCCCCCCCCCGAGACGCGTTTTTTTTTTGTTTTTTTTTTTCTAAGAGTACAAACGTATACCAACACCGGAATGTAAAAACAACATCGCTTGCGACCCGCGTAAAGTCCACCGACACGTTACGAGGCCGCGATAAATGTAATGCCTCGGTGTCCGGGATAGAGTGCGTGACGGGAAACGAGCGCTGATAACACCGCTGTTCGTGAAAAAAACGCACGGCGTTTTAGACAACGCGCGCGCGCACGAACGGTGCGCTTCCTTCACGGGCCCCGGCGCCGTCTCCGCGGAAATCTCGGGGACCAACGCCGCACCGGCCTGACCGGCGCGCGGAACGGATCGACGGTCCCCGGGCGCGCAAAATGTTATCGCGGTCCGCGTAATCGCGTCATCGCGACGCCTGTGTTGCGACGCCGGCACGCGGATCGCTCCGCGTTACACGATCGTATGTTTCGACCCGTGCGGCCGTCGCGCCGCGTCGTGACATTAACGTTAAGACGCGCGCAGAATGCGTAAAACGCGGGGGAGGGGGGGAAACCTCGGCGCGGATACGCGCGCCCACGCGTGACGGTCGACGTTTCCGACTGGCGGTAAAAAACGTGTTTCGATGGAGAACGGACTCGCGCGAAGTCCGATCCGCCGTCACACGCGTCGCGGCCGTTCGCGTCCGCGCGACACTTACGGGTCCACCTCGCGGCCCCGATCCAATGTGACCGCCGTAACATGACGGCCGCCGCTTTTGAAATGTACGCGACACGCGCGCCCGCAGGCCAACGGGCCTCGAAATCGCGACGTGTGACAACGGCGGTCAATCGGAAATCTAATACGCGTGCGCGTACACGGGCGACCGGATAGCCGGCTCCGTGAGCAAACGCCGACGGTCTTGTACGCGTAACGGCGAATTCGATCGGTTCGCCCGCGAGCTATTCGTCCGCGCCGTGTACACCGTGCGATAAATCTGTGCGAATGATATGCAGCCCGTCGCCGTTACCATCGCATAGTCGGTCGCGCGAATAAATGTATTACGGGTCGTCGGACGCGATTCCTTGTGTGAACATCGAACTTTAAATTTGACGGGGAATCTATCGCGGAGTCGGTTGTTTAATGTTTTTTTATACAACTGTGATTATATTTTACATTTTTTTTTTTTTTTTTGTAACGATTTTTTGTATTGTCGACACAATTAACGCTCTTCCAATAACGTACTAATATAATCAAATTATTACGGGGGAAAAAAAAATTTACAATATATTTCTGTTATCATATTGTATTGCAGATATAACCATCGACATAACACAAACCGTCCACGGAGATAAACACATTGCGATATCTCGGAAACTATTGACTTTGTTCGAAAGGTTTCTTTTTTTCTTTTGCAACATAAGAAACAAGCAGATCCATAACTATGGATTTCCGT